TCTACAACTATTTCAGTGTAAAGACTGCAAAAAAAAAACTTGAATACTGATGCATAATTTGCCTTTATAGAGAAAAACATATTCAACTTTGTTGACATTGGATACCAAATTAAATGCAAAATTTGCATTTTCAGTACTTTTGGCTTCTTGACCTTTATTTGAATCTGAGACTAAGCTTTACCAAACAACGGAATCTACACTGTTACTAGCCAACCACAGTCCTCATTATGAAATCTATGCAGTGCATTTGTTGCCTAGGAAACAGACCAGAGCACAAGCAGAGTGCAATTTCAGTACAGCAGAAGAATTCTCCAATTATGCTGGTAAATAAAGTCCATAAATCAACTAATCAGAAGCAAAGTCAAGAAGTATCACAGAAGAGTTAAGCTCTCTGGAAACTTTTTTTAAAGAAAAAAAGGGAGAAACCCGTACTGCTGCTACGAGCAACTATGTAGATCTCTTAAGTAAATATTATGAGCAGGTTTCTTTACAAACACGAGCTGTCAGAAAATAAACTGTTCAAAATAAATGGCTTCTCTCCAATCTTCAGCTTTCCTATTTTTTGACAGTATTTAAGAGAAAAAGCTTCTTTAGAGCCAGCCTCATACATCTGGTAGCAAAATATTAATCCAAGAACGAATTCTGCATTTTCAGCAAGCAGCTCTGAGTCCACGCTGTTATTAAACAACCAGGATAATTAAGGCTGAAATAAGGGGTCACTGTCTACCTTAAAATCAGAACTACTCCCCACTCCCTCCCCCAGGGTACAAAAACTGCTAAAAGAAATCAGAAATCGAGTATCTATTTTAAAGAATAAAACCATTATTTTTCTTCTTCCTACTTACACTAATAATGAATAATAACTGATAATACTAATCAGCTGAAGATTTGGGGAGGCATAAAGTGGCCATTTTGTGTTTCTTTTAATCTACCAGATTAACAGGAAAGTGCTAGAAAACTACAGATTTTTACTGAGGCCAGCTTAGTATTGTTTAAGGAAAAAATTGCCAAATAGTTTCTATTTCTCAGCCATATTTAAAATCCAACTTTATGCAGATTTAAAATTGCGGCAGTGGCATTTGTTATAACAGTAAAAACAGCAAAAAAACCCCAAAAATTCATGAACACCAAAGTACCAAAACTGAAATCAGTTGAAAATATGTAAGGTTCTTAGGAATTTTTCTGAATATACTAAATTATTATTGCCAACTGGATCAGCCCCCCCCCCCCAATTAATATCCACATACCACAGTCAAAAAAGTCAAAGAATCAGAGGCCAAAGCAATAGTATAGTAGGTAAGGTGCTTGATCTGGTCTCCATCACAGGCACCTCCGACCAGGTTCCCCCACGACCAGGAGTGATTTCTGAGCACAGATCTAGGAGTAACCCCTGGGCATCACCAGGTGTGACCCAAAAAACATTACAACAAAAAACCAAAAAAGGGCCAAAAAAAAAGCCAGTTATTATCTTTTTAGCCAAAGCACATAAAAACTATATAACCAATCTCCGAAAACCGTGGAGGCACAACCGCATCTTTGCCAGGCAAACCTCCACCCAGACCGCTCTCTTCAAGTTTAGTTTATACAATGACCCTTTGTTAAGCCTTATCACTATGACTGATAGTCTTGTAAATAAACACGTAAGCAAGCAATTCAAGTTATTGACTTACCTTTTCATAATACTTCTAAGAGTTGATGAAGAGTGTGTACCTATGAGCTAAAATTCAGGGAGTGAATCTTGAATCTCTGGGAACGTTTCTTAATTTCATTCCACCATTCATGATAAGTCTTAGGAGATTTTAATACCTATCTTCTTTGGCCTATTCTTAACACAACAGAAGGGACCTTATTCAGGGTTACCAGCACACTTAACTGACTATGTTCTGTGCCTCTGTACAGAGTTTAAATTCATTTATCTATCTAAACCAGAATTCAAAGCAGGTACTAACAAATTTCCATCAATGCAAAGTGTCTGGTTTGGTCAGTGTTACATGTATCTTTTTCCAGGTCTTCAGTGTACAAAAATTTACATCAGGAATTTACAAAATCAGTCATGCAATAATAACATAAAACTGTTAATATAATTAAGCAGGTCAAGAATCTGGGATAAATGTTTCAACTAGAAAAAAGACCAGTAATTCAGATACACTAAACTGACTTCTCTTTATAATGACAAAAATTAGTTTGCCCAATTAAAAAGGCACTAAATTTTGTATTATCTTCTGATGAAGTTCTAACTCTTACTTGATGGAAACTTTAATATTTTCCAATGTTTGGGGCTGGAGCGATAGTACAGTGGGGAGGGCATTTGCCTTGCACACGGCCAACCCGGGTTTGATTTCCAGCATACCAGATGGTCCCCTGAGCACCGCCAGGAGTAATTCCTGAGTGCAGAGCCAGAAGTAACCTTGTGCATCGCCGGGTGTGACCCAAGAAGGAAAAAAAAAATTCTAACATTTCCCCTTCAAGTCTAGAAGTAAAAGGCTTTTTTGACTATGACTATGTGGGGTGGGGGTTGGGGTTCCATACTTGGGGATGCTTAAGGGTTACTACAGCTTTCAGGAATCACTACTGGTGGGCCAGCTGTAGTATGCCAGGAAGCAACCCTGAGTTCCCCACTGGTTAAGTGCCTTACCAGCTTGTACTCCCTCTCTGGCCCCTAGATGAGAGAAGGTTTCTGAGATCTTCATTTTCTGCCTATAGCTGCTCTATAACTGAATGTACCAAAAACTTTCATCTTTAATCTTCTTGATAACTGCCAGATTTAAGTTACTCAATATGGATTTTTCCAGGAGAGTCACAAGCTAAAGTTTCCAGGAGTGAAGCAAGAGATTAATAAAAAGATCAAGTCATACCTAGATGCAATATCTGAAGCTGTAAAATTAAGATTTCTGGGTACTAATTCAAATATCTACAGGATATTTAAATACCTAGAGCTGTTCTAGGGGAGAAGGGTCTAGCAGGACCAAAGCTGAGAGCAGAGGGCTCTCGGGTTTACTTATCCCAGAAATAATTTTAAAAGGCAAGTCTTCAAATAAAGGTCACTTATTCAGGAAAAATACACACACACACACACACACACACACACACACACAGAAAAATGAAGAGAGCCATGCTCCTGGAAAAGAGGAGTGAGCAGCCCCTTACAACAAAATACATTCTCATGTAAGTCATTTGGGGGGATTAAAGGCAGAGAATCTTGTGGCTTCTGGATAAGGTCAGTAGTATTCCTGACAGTGAAAAAGGGGCTGTCTTCGCTGATGTGTTTACAAGCTAAATGGTAAGGAGCAGGAGAGGCAGGAGAGAGCCTGATGTTCAGGCATGTGAGAAGGCAAAGTACTGTTTGCAGATGTCAAGGCACTGTTTGTTGGTATTAGCATCTGCGAAGAGGAGGTGCTGTTAGTTGACACTAACATATGCTCAAGGTCTAGAAGGACAAGGTTCTCTTTGTTCCAAGATGTAACAGAACTTCAAGAGAACTAGGAATGGGGTCTCCTTGATTTTTTCCCCACCTCACCTCAGACCCGCAGAGCACTCGGGCTGTTTTATCCCTCACTGACAACTACCCAGCAACTGGCTGTTGAAACTTGGCCAGATAATTAAATAACATAAATCAGAAACAGCATCTACAGTGCTCTTCAAAACACAACCGCTACCACAATACAACCGAACCGGCTGGGTGATCTGCAGAGATTAGGAACAAATGCATTCAACAACACAAGAACAGCCCAGGGCCAGCTTCTCCCTGAAAGCTGCCAAAGACCTAGCTCGGAGCAGAATAATGATGATAATAATAATAACAACAACAACAACATTTTCCCTTCTGAATGGAAAGCAAGATCACTGTTTATTGCACAGCAGCTTAATCTCCACCGTGAAGTTGTCACCGCCTGAACTCTCCCCGTTAACCGTTTATTTGAAATAGAAGATTCTGCCAGCCTAACCGGAGGAGTCTGGGAAACGATCTAACTTTACCCAGAACTTAATACATGGAAACGTATTTCCACGTCTACAGATACGAGCATATAATCGTAAAAAAAAAAAAAAAAAACCAAATCAATAAATCACAGCCACGTTCACATTGGCCTTCGATTTCCTCTTGCCTGCAAGAAGAGGAAATCTTGCCTGCAAGTCTCTGAAAAGAAGGCAAGAGAGAAGAAAAGGAAGGCACGACCCCCCCACCACCACCACGGCCACCACCCCCGAAAAAGCAAACATCAACACACCCCTCACCCCCACCCCGGCCACTCTTTTGATTCTGAGCTGATTTGAGTGGGGGAGGAGGGGGCTTGTGGGGGAGGGATCCGGAGGGGGGGTTTCTCGAGGTCTTTGGGGAACAAACACAAACCTCTGCGCGCAGCCTCAGACGGGGCAGTGGGGGGCTGTGATGTGTGTGTGTGCGCGCGTGTGTGCGCGCGTGTGTGTGCGTGTGTGTGTGCGCGTGTGTGTGCGCGTTGGAGGGGAGGGGGTGGAGAGCCCTCCTCCGTTAGAAACAATAAATACGGGGCCCCGAGGCGCCGCACGTCCCGCGGTCAGCGGCCGCGCCGGACTCGGGACGGGCCGCGGGCGCCGCGCGCTCTCCCCGCTGCCCCTTCCCGCCGGCCCGCGGCTCCCGGGCCAGCCCGAGCCGAGCCGCGCCGCGATGCTGCGAGGCGGCCCCCGAGCCCGTGAGCGCGGCGGGGGGCGGGAGGAGGCGCGGGGGTGGGGGGTCCGGCCCTCGCGCGCGCACGCCCCCCTGCCGCCACCGGCGCCCCCCGCGCGCCCGCCGCCCGCCCGCGCCGGCCCGCGACGTCGCCGCTCCGGCCTGGCCGCGCCGCGCCCCCCCACCCTTCCCCGACCCCGGAGGAGACAAAAGGAGGAGCCGGCCGGGTCGCCGCGCGGCCGCCCCCCGCACCGAGGGGCTCCCCGGGCCCGGGGGCGGCGAGGTGCGAGTCGGGGGGCGCGGGGAGGGGAGGCCCGCGTCGGCGCGCGTCCCCGCCCCGCGCGCGCTCCGCACCCACCTGCAGGTGTCCGTGCGTCTGTCCATAGGCACGCGGGCGGCGCGGGGGCCTGCGGGGCGCCGGGCGGGCCGGGCTGGACGGGGCGGGCCGGGGGCCGGCGAGGGGCGGCGCGGGGAGGGCAGGCCGGGGCGGGGGCGCCAGCCTGGCTCGGCCGACCGCGCGCGCCGCTCCGTGCGCCCCGGGCTCCGCGCGCCCGGCTCGGAGCGCGGCGGGCGGGCGGGCGGGCGGGGGGCGGGGCGCGGCGGGCGGGGCGGGGCCGGCGCGCGGGGCGGGGGCTCGGACCCCGGCTCCAGCCGGCACCGGAAACGCGCCGCGGTCCGCGAGACCCACAGGAAGTGGGGGGAGACGCCTCCCACGGCGCGCTCCGAGCTCGCGGGCGGACCCTCCCGGCCGCCGCTCCGCCCCGCCCCCCCGCCTCCGCGCGCGCGCCGCCCCGCGACAGGTGTGGGCCCCTCCCCCGCCCCACGGTCCCCGCCGGGAGTCCCGGGGGCCCCGTCGGGCCGCGCTCCCCCACCCGCCCAGCGCCCCCGCGGCCGCGCCGCAGAGCCCCGCCGGAGCGCGTGGGAGCGGCCCCCGGCGAGGACCCGCTCCCGCGTGGTCGTCGGGCGCGACCCCGAGCGAGGCCACCCGGGACGGGGGTGGCCTCGACCGCCGGGCAGGTGCGGGCACAGCCGCCACCCCCGCGGACGTGCACCCCACGGGCGCCGTGGCTGGTGGAAGTTCTCCCCCAACTACCCGCAACTCCCGCGCCCGGCCCGCGGGGGAGCGGGCCCGCTTTCTGCCGCCTGGAGCACTAGGACCAGGAACGCCCCCCAGTCCCAAATCCTGCTGCGGGGGAGTGTGTCCCCCCAAATGTGCTTCCAAGTGGCCCTCCGCACCCCTCTTCATTTCACCCGGCCAGTAAGTGCCGCCGCCGGGAGTTCGCACCCGGTTGGCCGGCGTGGGTGAAACTAGCTCTGTGCGGTGAGCTTGGCCGTTTTATGGATGTGGAAACGGACACGCAGAAACGAGCGGATCTGCCCGGGGTCGTTGAGGGAGCCGTTGCTGGAGGAGCCCAGATTCAGCTTCCCTCCCCACACCCCGCGCCCTCGCTCCCTCCCCTCCTCCCCACACACGCACATCCCCGCAGTCTGGTTCCAGCTTCCGAAGTCTAAACTCCTCAACAGCGCTGAATATCTCGAAAAAGTAGAGAGGAAGCGTGATGAATAATATCCAGAGCACGCCTGCTTGACCTTATGGGGGCTCCTCTGAGCCTCCAGCAGTTGTGCCAGGGAGACCTAGGGCGCTCCTTTGGCGGCGAGGGGAGAGCCGCCGATGACTAAGCAGAGAGAAAGCGCTGAACGAAGTGCAGTGGATTTTTCAAACCCCGTTATTTCTATTGAGGTAACGGAGTTTTCAAGTTCCCATGTGGTTCTACGGTTGCAAAGCAGCTTTGCCATCCCCGCCTCCACCACCACCACCACCACCAGAGCGTCAGTAAAGCTCCCGCTCTGCTCCAGGGCCTTTCTTGCCCCAACCCTCTTGCAGCCGGCTTGGCTGTTGTGCAGTAGCGACTCAGGGTGTACCTCCCCCCACCAAGGACTCTCTCATCTTTTGCTGTTTCTTTATACTCCTCATATGAGCGAGATGATTTGGCATTTATCTTTTTCTTCCTGACTCAGTGAACATGACACCCTCCAGTTTGATACAGGTTTTGACAAATCGCATGACTTTATCTTTTCTCATAGTTGCGTGATGTTCCACGATGTATCTATTCCACGGTCTTTCTCCACTCTGTAGAGTTCAAAGATCTTTCTCCACACATCTAGTTGTTTCCAGATTTTGTCTACTGTGAATAGTGCTGCAATAAACATAATTTCTGTAGGAACATAGGAGGTATATATAGAAGGGCAGGAGAGCGGGTCCTTAGTAGGAACTTTGCTACTGGGCAGAGGGGAAGAGGTCAGAGAAGGTAAGATAATGATAGAGGGAAGTGATTATCCTTGCCAAGAACTGTGTACTAAAAGGTGGTAAAGTGATATGCATGGTAACCTCTCAGTAAGAGTAGTGCAGATCCACAGTGTCTAAAAGAATAAAAGAAAAAACTACCTGGCAGAGATGCGGGCTGTGGGGCAGGAGGGAAACCTGGAGTATTGGTAGAGGGGAGTGGATATAGGTGATGAGGTTGGTGCTCAAAATTAGTACCCCTGGAACTCTATCATGAAAAACTGCATAACTTTGTGATTCACATTCAATAAATTAAAACCTTTCAAATAAAACCATAAACCAAAAAAGAACATAGGAGGCGTGGTAAAATCCTTACAGACTAATGTTTTAGTCTTCTTGGGCCTGAAGCCCAGGAGGGGAACCGCAGGGTCATGTATATGTTCTATTCTTTTGTTTCGTTTTGTTTCTGGGTCACACCTGGCAATGCACAGGGGTTACTCCTGGCTTTTGCACTCAGGAATTACCCCTGGTAGTGCTCAGGGGACCATATAGCATGCTGGGAATCGAACCCGGGTGTTCTATCCTTAATTTTTGGAGGAGATGAGATTTTGGGGGGGTGGGGAGATCTCCCAAACGGTGCTCAGGAGTCCCAATGCCCCTCCCATTGATTCTTGGTTAACTGGGCCTGTGGTCCATTTGGAGGGCCCAAGGATGTAGTGGTGCTTGGCCTTGCAAGTGCTGGGGATTATCCAGCCACCTGGAAGATACTTGGAGGCCTTTAGGACCACTCAGTGATGCTCTGTGGAGGGGATCTATCCAGGGAGAGCCACATGCAAGCCAAGCATGTTAACCCCTGCATCATCTCTCCAGCCACGAAAAATGGATTCTGAACACCTTGCTCTGCTAACATTCCTACTTTTTGTTTGTGCCATTCCCAGAGGTGCTCAATGATTACGGTTGGCTCTGTGCTCAGGGTCTGGCAGCACTTGGGGAGAGCACATATGGTATGGGGGGTCCAATCCAAGTTGGATGCATGCAAGGCAAGTGTTTTATCTACTCCTGTACTCTCTACACCCCTGGATTTTTTTTTTTAATCTGTTAACAGTTTAAAGCACAGCGGGTAGGGCGTTCGCCTTACAAGCGGCCAACATGGCCGACCCGAGTTCGATTCCTCCGCCCCTCTCGGAGAGCCCGGCAAGCTACCGAGAGTATTCGATATGCCAGACACAGTAACAACAAAGTCTCCAATGGAGACGTTACTGGGCCCGCTCCAGCAAATCGACGATCAACGGGAGGGCCTTTACCTTTACCTTTAACAGTTTAAGATAATTTTAATGTCTATCCAGGATCTGGGAAGATAGTAGAGAGGAGAAGGAGTATGCCTTGCATATGCCTGGCCTTTGTTTGATTTCTGGAACCACATCACCCCTGAAGAGAGTGCAGTCCTGGTGGTGACCAGCACCACAAAGCTGGAGAAACAGTACATCCATGAGCACTCATATTGAATCACTGGCCCTGGGGTCAGTGAAAGAGTTCAGCAAGCTGAGCACTGGCAGTGTGATCTCAAAACAAAACAAAATTTACATTTAAAGCCATTTGTTCCAAGGACAGTTTCATTATGATCAGTGGTTTAATGATGCAGGCTCAGGCTATGATGGGTGATACTTTGTACAAATTAACACTTCCACTCAGCATCACAGAAGCTGATTTTAATTATACAGCAACCTAAGCAGCCAAAGTTTGAGCCTCCTGAGAGTCAGGAAGAAAGTGTATTGACATGAATCCTGCACTTCCAGCCCTGTTTCCTTCTCAAGCCATTGTTGATTTGTGCAGTGTTGAAGCCAAGAGGAGCATCCTAGAGCTGGTGACAGTCTGCTGGGGTTGGAAATTTGGAGGTCAGGTCTATCAAGGCACATAGATCTTGATCTCGGAGTAAAAGCTGTCACAGTAAAAGCAGTTAAACATTCTATATACTGTTTTCCCTCAAAACTTTTACCAGTTCCCTACCTGTATTTGCAAGGCAGGAAACCAAAAAACCAAACCAAAAGCAGCTACTGATAAGGTGTAGGATGACATTGCTTTGTCCTTTCTCCACAAAGAGCTTAGGTTTATCTGGTTACACCCATCACAGTGCTCCCGAGGCATTTCCATTCCATTGTGTTTAACTGTAAATTCTTCCCTATGCTCTCCTCCCCAACCAGTTAATCAGTTTTCCCCCTAATCAGACTCTGTTAATTTGTAAAGTTAGATTCCTCAGATATCTATGATTTTATATGTATGAGTGAAATATTGCCTTTCTCCTCTCCTTATGCCTTATGAACAGTTTACCTTAAAGTAATATCCTTTTTGTATAGATACAGGAAGACCGTTAACATTATGCTTCGTAACTTAGGATTCGATTGGCCTTGAATATTATTCACTCCCGGGCATCTGCTTTCTCAACTTAAGCCTCAGTTGCCCTTAGTTCCTAACACCCCAAAAGCAGGGTCCCGACGAGGGACTGAATGGACCCAGGGCAAGCAGTGAGCTACCCTGGCAGCGAAATGGGCCAGGCCAAAGTGCCACGATTCTTAACTATAAGAGTTTGATCATAGACAAATGCTGTCATGATCCAAAAGTAACGACGAGACTAGGATCCTGCTAGGGGTGGGAAAGACTATCTGGCCTGAGCACCGTAGTCTGAGATCGAGATGGCCCTAGGAGGGCAATTCTACAAATTTAAGATATTTCTTACTGTAGCCATACAAAATGATTTATATTATATATGCTTATATGCTTGTGGACAAGGAGAGGAGAAACACACCCATGGGATTCAGCTCTAGGGTGGGTCGTCCTGCTGAGAGAGGATCTGTCCTAGGAGTGGCTTTCCCTGAGGGAAAGAATTCTACCCCTATTGTTTGTGACCACACCTATGTGTAGTTATTACCTTAACCCCTCACGCTTTGGGATTTAACTAGACTGTAAGAGTGGGCTGGGGGATCAGAAGAAGGAGAAAGGAGATGGGAGATCAGAATCCAGACTCCAGAGAAGGAGGATGAAGGGAGATCAAGGAGGAGAATGAAGTAGCATGGGGGAGGAAGAAGCAGGAGGCAGAGGCAGAGGAGAGAGGCTGGAGTGGATGGAGAGAGGATTGGAATAAAGTGCGACTAAGACCAACCAGCCTGGCC